ACACAAGGGAAACAGAAATATAAATGCATTCACCTCATAACTGATCACACCATGTATACCTTTATTAGTACTTTCAACCACTCACAACATCATTATTTCATTGATTCTTCATTCAAGGCATGGTGGCCGTAACTCATATTCCACACTTTCATTTCTTTACTTTCAAGGATCAACATCATAAAAATCAACGTATAGAATATTCCATAAATCACAACTTTAGGTTCATTAGAATGAAGGCTTTAAATACAATAGATTTATTTCCAAAGTATGGAGCAAAATGATTGGTAATCGCAACGCAGGTTAAAAATCATAAATGAGTAATACACCATTTTTTTTTGAAATACTTCCCTAAAAAGCCAATGCACAGTTTCAACTCATGGGTAAGTAAGGACTAAAACACATTGGAAACTCTTACAAAGGAGATCATGGTGTATACGATTGAAACATAGATTCAAATCATATGCACTAGTTACAACAACCATGGCCACATTTTATATCTCACTCTTACTTCTTTCACTACCAAACATAGTCATAGTTTATCAACAATAAGGGCATTTGGAAATAGAATCTTGATATGTATATGAGCTATGTGAGTTTTAAGCAGTTAAGCATAACGAACTTCCATTTGAAACATGAATTGAAGTTATAACATTTAATACCTAAACCGTACTTGAACACATTCCCGAAGGAGATCATGATGAGATAAGAGCAATTGGAACACATTTTGAGTATATGCATCTTTCAACACATCGCTTACTTGGGATAATCGAATTTATTAGGAACAACTCGGAACATGGGAATTAGGAACCTGGGCCAACCATACACAAAGCTTACGGGAACATCATGGAATTCGACTCTAAGAGAGAAGTTTAGCCAACATACCTCGATTGAGCTTTAGTTAGAGTTGCTACAATGTTCCACTACCCTTGGCAATGTCAATCTATAGAAACATGGTCAAATTGGACCATCATTAGGAAGGGGTTCATACCATTCAGCTCACTTAGGCATTTTATCAAACATTGAGCGTGCACATTTGTTTACAACCTTCATTGATGATATTTTTTTTATCCAATACCCACTATTTGCCCCGAAAATTCATATTACAACCAGCCTTTAATAGTTTAGGACCTCCGACAATGTATTCATGTCTTACCATCCATCCTCAACCAACCAATTCATCAAACAAATCACTTTTCATTCTCTATAAATTGTAAAAACTCCAATTAGTGAACTTATGGCTTCCAATCACTATCCCATAATTTCTACCTCTAAATTCCTAATGACATATTCATTATTAAGTCATGCATGAAAGTTCAAGGAGATGGAATTACCTTTGGGGGTAAATCTTGCAAAGTCCTCACTTGAGCTCTTGGGAAGATTCCTTGAAAATCTAATGATTCCATAGTGGATTTGGTAAGTTTTAGGGTGGGATACTTACCTTGAAGATGGGAGGAGTTTTAGGTCTTGAGAGAGTGGAGAGGGTCTCCAAGAATCGGCCAAGAGGAGTGAGAGAAGTGAGCTACCGAAATGCTCTTTATAAAGGCTTCATGCCTAGCTTGTCCATCCTCATGTGTCGTGCGAACATGGACGAGCTCTCTTTCAAGTTTGCGTGTTGGGGAAATACTTCACTATTTTGTTGAAATGGTCGGGGGTCTTTGCTCATTCAAACCCGCGTGGCGCACGAGTTCAGACGAGCCTCCAAAATGCATCCTTCCTATATTTCTTGTTTTCCAACTTACCCTCCTTCGATACCTTGCTATGATGCAAACCCCAATTCACTTCCAAACTTTCATATAAGTTTGAAACCATGATTACACGATGTTACCCTCATCCATAGACATCTGGGTACACAAGCGAAAAGTGGATATCTCGAGGCGTGATATAAGGCCTTAAACCCTTAGTAATTTGATCATAACTTTTTGTAGAAATATCCAAATGACAAATGATTTGATGTATTTGAAACCAGACTCGAAGGGCTATTCTTTTGGGACAAAATTCATGGAAAATATCTTTTTGCTATGAGAGTAATTCCTGCTTAACGTAAGATGTTGTGCAGATTGAGACATCTTTTCTACTTAATGTATCCAACTTATTCCACACAAATTTTTCTAACACACAAACCTCCTTCATATGTTCCAACACACCTTAAATACATATTTTTATTTCAAAATGATGTGGTTCTATCCCATAGGTCTCCTTTAATACTCGAAAACATTATTTTCAAATACCGTTGGCGCACTTTAAAATCTTAATTCATTAGGAAATTTTAACGGCTTACAACACTACTCCCTAGTCTCCTTACCAGTATAGGGTACACCAATTCCTAGCTACATTTTCCAACGTAGGGTACACTATTCCCTAGTTGATGATATTTTAGATATAGGGTACACCTCTCCCTAGTCTCCTTACCAATATAGAGTCACCAATCCCTAGCTGTGTTTTCCAATACAGGGTACATCACTCCCTAATTGATTGAGCTTAAATACATGCTACACCACTCCCTGATATCATTACTAATTGATCTTAAATACATGGTACACCATTCCCTAATATCTTTATCGATAGAGTTGAAACGCAGGATATACCACTCCCTGATATCATTCCTAGACATAGGGTACACCACTCCCGAGTCTCCTTACCCGTATAGGGTACACCAATCCCTAGATGTATTTTCCAACGTAGGGTACACCATTCCCTAGTTGATGATATTTTAGATATAAGGTACACCAATCCCTAACTGTATTTTCCAACATAAATGTACACAACTCCCTAGTTGATTGAGCTTAAATTCAGGGTACACCACTCCCTGACAACATTACTAATTGATCTTAAATGCAGGGTACACCATTCCCTGATTTCTTTATCGACAGAGCTAAAACACAGGGTACACCACTCCCTGATATCATTCCTTGATATAGGGTACACCATTTCCCTAGTCTCCTTACTAGTATAGGGTACACCAATCACTACCTGTATTTTTCAACGTAGGGTACATCATTTCCTAGTTGATGATATTTTAGACATAGGGTACACCACTCCCTAGTCTCCTTACCAGTATAGGGTACACCAATCACTACCTGTATTTTTCAACGTAGGGTACATCATTTCCTAGTTGATGATATTTTAGACATAGGGTACACCACTCCCTAGTCTCCTTACCAGTATAGGGTACACCAATACCTAGCTGTGTTTTCCAACATATGGCACACCACTCCCTAGTTGACTACAAACAAAATGGAATTAGCTACGAACGTCGTCGTTAATCTGTCCTAAAACGCTCGTAGCTAGCAGAATTTCATGATAATTCGTTGCTAATCCGTCACTAAATGAGATTAGCGATGAATTTTTCTATTTAGCTACAGAATTTGTCCGTCGCTAAAACCTGATTTTTTAGTAGTGGTTGTTTGAGCTTAAACGTAGGGTACATCACTTCCTGATATCACTACCAGTTGAATTTAAATGCAGGGTACACTACTCCCTGATATCTTTGCCAATATAGGGTATACCATTCCTCGACCGTATTTTTCCAACATAAGGTACATCAATCCTTAGTTGAGGCACTATTTTGACAATAAGGAAACACCATCTAAAAAAAGCCATCATCATTATCTCTTCAGGGTACACTATTCCCGATATTTTATTGCTTTTAATAAATAAGTAGTTTAGATTTATTACAATAACTCACGAAATTTTCCTAGTAAAAATTGGGGCAGAAAATTTTTGTTCATTTATTTGTTTTGGTGTCTAAGCAGGTTTTACCTCGAGACACAGGCTTCGAGATGACAAAAGAAGAAGTCTCACTCCACAATAAAGAAAATAAAATAAAAAAGAAGCGAATCCAAAATGCAGAAGTGGGTGAAAAGATATGGGCTGCTCAAGACAGGATTGAAGTCACGAGCATTGCATTTCCTGCTTTGATCAGAAAAGCCATAGAAGAATGAACTAGCACCTACAACTAGCAAGCACCAAGGTTCAGATCGCAGTCTTAATGAAGAACCAGTCAAGACTCAAGACCAAGCTTCTCAGACTTATAGATTGGAATCTTATAACTCATAGCTGATAGATTTGTTTAGTTTCTTTTGATTTTGATTTTAGTGTAATAAGGAGTTCAACAAACAGTAAAATCACAACTCTTCAGTAGTCCCAGCTACCAAAATTTTCAGAACTACATTGACCTGATTTCTTTATTACCAGCGATATGTATTCAACCTCGAAAGCAAGGTTCGGTCAAACTTTTTCAAAAATGCTTCCCGTGGAGTATCAAAAGGGCAAAAATTATTTATAATTGCTCACTTTCTCTTTGCCCTAAAACTTTTCATGTTTTCGAGCAAAGAGGGGCAGCTGTGAGCACGTAATTTTTGCCCGATATGAAATGAGTCTTAAAAATTCCAAAAGTAGTTTTTAATTATTTTTTTTTATAGAATTTTAGGAACTTTCTACATTTTTATTTGATTTGTTTTACGCATATTTGTGTTTCACAATTTTTTAGTAAGATTTTTTAAATCATAAATAATGACAAAAATATTTTATATTTTAATCTTCACGTTTTAGATCTTAATTGCATTTAGTTGCATGATTTAGTTGCATTTCTAAAATATAAAAATCACAAAATACATGTAATCATTCTTATTTCTTTTACATTTTAGGTTCAACTAATTAGCTAAGTTGTTAATCCACAAAATTAATTAGCTTAATTGTTAGATAGATCAGTAAATAGGTTAGTTTTGCAACTTTAGCTTTACATTTTAGGTTAGTTAATTAGTTGGCTAAATATAAAAATGGAGAAAAGAGAGCTGACCGAAATTGGGCTCATTTCTAGTGGCCCAAGTAATTTTCACCAGCCATGATCCAATGGTCCGGAACTGGTCCAGGTTCCCAATAAGTCAAAACGACGCCTTTTTGGTTTTGTTCAATCTCAGCCGTCTTTAATTATGATCCAATGGTCCGGAACTCCACATACTCATAATATAAAAATGTCCCAAACAACCCTACCCCCCAAAGACCGTCTCAGAACCCCTCATCTCTCTCTCTCTATACCTCCGCTCCCTTATGCCCAGAACCACCGTCGAAAATCGCATAACGGCGGCGGACGGTCTCCAAACACCACCAAATTTTCACCACAAACTCCCCTCACCTTCCTCATCCTCAATCCCTCATCTATTTTCTTAATAAACCACCCGAGTTCCAAGATTAGTGGATCTAAAATCTCAGAAAAACCTAGATTTTTCCCCTTTTGATTTCTTGAGTGATTGCTATTCGTTTTGGCTCGAAACCCACGTGAATAGATTGCTTTTGACAAGAGCAATCGATTTACATTAGTTTTGATTCATTTCGAGATCGCCGGAGTCCCAAGTCGTTGTTGACCGACCAGATTTCATTATTCCCTGTTGCTCGTCGGAGATCATCTCGTCGTCTCATTCACTGGAATTTTCTTGCTAAACACTTGGTATACTTCCCTTCTCTTCTCTGTAATTTCATCTACTTGCCGCATCTTCTTGATTTCTGTCCTAGCAAGCTTAGTCAGTAGTTTGGATTAATTAGTGGTTAATTCACTTAGTGTTTAATTGCATTATTTAATCAGTAGAATCACTGATTTGAACTTGTTTTAGAGAATGATCATTTTTATTTTGATCTTGCATTCCATGTGTTTTTTCGGTTTGGATTTAGCTTCATAGGAATTGGGCCTGCTTTATTGGATAACAAGACCGTTAATCTCAGAATGATGAGGAAGGGAAGAACATGGACTAGGTTCATGGCTTTGAAAGCCCAGATGTTCAATAGTAAATTGCAGTAGGTTAGTACTATAGGATTTGGACTCAAGAGAATCTCTGAGTAACTGACTAGAGGCTTCTAGAAGAGCTGATAGGGACATGAATAACAATAAAGAAAAGAAAGGGGTCGAGGGTGAGCAGGTAATTACAGAAAAGAAAAAGGATTTAAAGAAAGGGAAATAACAGAAAAGGCAGCTGAGAATCTTCTATAAAACACATTCTTCATCCTCACACAATTCACACACTCTCACCCTCTCTCATCTCACTCACACCTTTACTCACGCCTTTAGACACTCATCGGAAGCAACTTGCAATTTAAGAAAAATCCAAAATCTGCAGAACCACAAGCTTCAAAAAACCAGGAAAAAAAAGGATTTCAAAATCCACTTTGAATTCCATTGCACTGTTCTATTAGTTTTCTGAATTCTTGCTGGATTTGAGATTGGATTCGAAGTTGTTTTGTTGTTTCTACTGTTGTGTTTTGCTGTTTAGTAGCTTGGATTCATCTTTAGCTTCCTTGACCTTCACTGAGACTGATTCTGTTATTTTTTCCTGCAATTAGGTATGTGATACTTTACCTGTTACTGCCATCGAAATATATAGATGAAGATCTGAATTGTTCATGTTGTATCTATGCTTAAATCTTCTGTATTCATTATGTTTGACCTCCAGATTTGTCGATACTTGTTTTTTATTGAGAATTGAGATTAATTGTTTGTCTAAATTAAAATTTTGATTCAATATTGTTCCCTGACTGTGCCTAATTACTCTCTGAACAACGAACTAATCTCATGAGGCATTTGAGGATTAAAATTACTTAGATCGATGCACAGGTTTATGAGGATAGCATGTTAAAGCACAAATGCCAGATGGCTACTTGTTGAGCTAGTTTGCAGATCAAGTCATTTAGTCTTATTTAACTAGTCCTAGGTGTTCGACTGTGGTAATTTGAAATCTGCTTAGTTTAGAATTTGAAGGCAAGTATAAATGTCATGATGATTATTGTATCTGATTTCTATTTCTGTGTATGTAAAACAAAAGTTAGTGATGAATCTGTCAAATTCTGAGTAATGGTTATTAAAACTAGTGGTCACAATTGTAACTGGAACGATTGTCTACACTGATAGGACCTGTGTTTTTTGGGTTCGAAATTGAAAACCTGGAGCCCAATACTCTGGTCATTCAATGGTACAAGAGTCAATTGGACTCTACATCTACAAGGCCCAACAGTTTCTAGGCCCATATAGGACCTGTTGGTCCATTGAAAAGGCTGATCACTCTAAGAGCCATATTTTTGGGCTTTAATTGACCCATTTCTATCTTACTAGACTCATGGGAGGTCTGGTATAACTTCCTAACTATCACAACCCCAAAACCCAATCTGTCGTGATGGCGCCTATCATGGTACTAGGCAAGCCGACTACTCAGACAATTCCAACACTTTCAACTTTGAAATATACTAAAACAATTTATATAAATAGAAATCTCATAAAACGGGGTAGAATATCATAACTCAATACATAAGTTTTTTCCAAAATTGGGGTGTCACTGAGTACATGAGCATCTATATAATGACATAGTCTAGTACACTGTCTGGAAAATAGAACTGAAATAATAAACTGAAAGACAGGAAAGGAGAGTCGAGGTCTGCGGACGCCAAGTAGTTACCTCGATGATCTCCGAATGTCTGAAATTCGTGAATCAGCAATCGTCGTGACCGGAAACACCAGGTCTACACAAGAGGTGCAGGGTGTAGCGTGAGTACAACCAACTCATTAAGCAACAAATCTAACCTTTGGATTGAAAGTAATTCATTACAACCCTCTTACAGAATTAACAAAACCGAAAGTTATAGAAAATATGGCAGTGATATATCAGTAATTCATAACTACAGATAATGGTACAAGTATTTAGACATGCTTTCAGGTTTTTTTTGCAATAAAACTTAACACAAAACAGGGCAGATCCAGCCTAGGGCAGATCTAACCCAAATGCAAATAAACCAGGGAAGATCCAGCCCAACTATAAATAGCTGCTAGCATTGCGCCCCCTGTGGATGTGCAGACTCCGGAGGGGCCGATCTAGCCCAAGCGCTATAATAAGTCAAATCCTGGCATGAATCAATAAAACTTGCTGCAGTGTGCAGCCCGATCCAATGAATATGACTCACAAATGACCCTCAGTCTCACTCAGTCATTAATCTCTCCAGTCTCTCGGGTTCACCATAATCATGATAATCAGCCCAAACAATAATAATATGATGTATTAAATAAAGGACAACAGAGTCTGAGACATGTTATGCGAATAATAGCTATGACTGAGTACAAATCAACAAATTAAGCAAATAATTCAACATGTAACACGACCTCTGTGGGTCCCAACAGTACCAACACGGAGCCTAAGCGGGATTTCTAACATAACTAGCATCTCAATTGCTCTAACACACGGTGAAAATATAGAATTTAACCAAAACTAAGTAAGAATCACATACCCCAAACACTCCCTTGAAAATCTCTTCAAGAATCGCCTCAAATCGAGCTCCCAAAATCAAATTTGTGATATGAGCTCAAACCCTCGTTTTGAAATATTTACGTTTATGCCCAGACATCCCTTCATCGCGATCGCGAAGCACAATACAGCTGCACAGAAAATTCACCTTACGTGAGTGCGACACTATACCTGCGAACACGAACCACTGCTTCCTCAAACCTATGCGATCGCGTCCCCATCCACGCCATCGCAAAGAACAAATGTGTGTGAACCCAGCTGCCTTCTTTCCTCTTCGCGAACGCGACCTCAGCCACGCTTCCGCAATAAATTAAATGCTCCAGCTTACGCGATCGCAACCCTCTTTTCATGAACGCGTAGAGCAAAATCCACCACTGTCCAAATAGGCCTACACGATCGCGGACCTGTCCACGCAATCGCGTATAAGGAAACCATATTAGAGACACCTGAAAACTTCAGCTAACCTCCAAGTCCAAAATTGATTTGTTAACCATCTGGAACTCACCTGAGGCCCCCAGGACCTCAACCAAACATACCAACAAGTCCCAAAAAATCATACGAACTTAGTCAAGCCTTCAAATCACATCAAACAATGCTAAAACCATGAATCGCGCATCGATTCAAGCCTAATGAACTTATGAACTTCCAACTTCTACATTCAATGCCAAAACCTATCAAATCATGTCAAATTAACCTCAAATTTTGTACACAAGTTACAAATGACACAACATACCTATCCAATTCCTGGAACCCCAATCCGAGCCCGATAATCACAAAGTCAACTCTCGGTCAAACTTCTAAATTGCCAAAGCTTCTAATTTTCAAGTTTCGCCATTTCAAGCCTAATTCAACTACGGACCTCCAAATCACTATCCGTACACACTCCTAAGTTCAAAATCACCTAACGGAGCTAACGGAACCATCAAAATTCCATTCTGGAATCGTTTATACATAAGTCAATATCCGGTCAACCTTTTCAACTTAAGCTTCCAACCTTGAGATTAAGTGTCTCAACTCGTTCCGAAACATCCCCGGAACCGAACCAACTACCCTGAAAAATTATATAGCAACTAATAAGCATACAATGAGTGGTAAATGGGGGAACGAGGCTACAACTCTCAAAATGACCGACCGAAACGTTACACTAACCAAACACAGCCCATTATATTATTATTATCCATGTTGCAGTCCATGTTTGAATTAGTTAATTAATAGGAGAACATTCAAGCTGTTTGACGTAGTTTCTTTCTATAACTTAAGGCTGTAATTCGAAACCATATCTAAATAAACCATGTTATCATTTCCATGCACTTCAACAATTACGAATAGTCTTTGTATATTCCTTAAGATTCATGTCCCTATAACTCTAATCACAAATGAATTCCATAAATCTTGGAACTTTCACACATAATCCCCAAATTAGAAAAGAAACAACCTTTGAGCATGCGTAGTTGCTTTAGGCATGCTTTTAATAATTCGTCATGGTTATGGGTACGATTCCCGTGGTATAACTTTGACACTTAATCCCAAATTCAAATGCACGTTCGCGTGACTTGACCCCAACTTTAAAGTAATAACAAAAATAAACATGTCGTAAATTGTGGGTGTATTTCACGCGGCGCGGTTTGTGATGTGTATAAAACGACAAGTATACAACATCGTAACTTGTTCAAATAAATTCCATAAATACTTAAAATAGCCAAAATATGTGTTAAAAGTAGTATGAAAGGTAAATGCGCATAGATTCTAAACACGTAATAATTCAGATAATTAAGCCGAGTGTAATCGTAAAGCGACCGTGCTAAAACCATGGAATCCAGAAGTGCCTCACACTTTCTCCCGGTTTAACAGAATTTCTTACCTGGTCTTCTGTGTTCACAGACTTCAAATTAGAGTCAATTTTCCTTGAATTATGACTTAAAATAAATGGCGACTTGGGATGCCGTAAATAATTTATTCCAAGCGGCGATTCTATAAAAATAAATAAAATCAATCCCATTTCAAATAATATCACTTAAATTGCTAATAATATCAACCGCACGGACAACTCACGTGTTGTAATATCAATATCTGGACCTGCACGGATAACTCACGTGTTGCACGACAACTCATGTGGTAATATTATCAATCCGCACGGACAACTCACGTGCTAATATCACAATCCGCCCGGTGTGGTCACATGTTCAACATCACAATCTGTCTGATGTGGTCACATGCATAACAACACAATTCGTCTGGCGTGGTCACAGGCATCCAGTCCAAATCATATCACACAGAAGCAAATATACAAGAATACATATATGTGATCAACGAATATCAGATTTTATGCTCCTGGACTGGTATAAGTGACATGCTAAAATGTATGCATGTGCAAAGTTTGCTATCATAGCTCAAATCGATAATTTCATCACATAAATAACAAGTCCAAGTTTATTCAGGGAATTAGCTTCTTCGTAACCTCAAACATGGTCCTAATAGTTCACAACAATAACCCTCAGGGGTTGGCCTGGTGGCAATTGACTTGAGCTTTGGGGTTTGCTCCATTTCAAGGTCTCAAGTTCGAAACCCACTGGGTGCAAACAATTTCTGAGGGCCATCGGTTTGGGTAAAATATGAATTAACCGTGGTGCACTTGCGGGAAACTCCTTGCCGAGGGCCTGTGCACCCCCGGAATTAGTCGGGGCTCAAAGAGACTCGGACACCCGGTGCAAAATCAAAAAAAAAATAGTTCACAACAATGTTACAAATACGAGAAACATCATTGCTTAGAGTTTAACAGTCAATTCTAGGAATCTCATAGCCTAAGCACTACTCCGAGCATGTTAAAAAATGCACCATATCACGTAGCTATCACAAATAATTCAAGCAACTAGTGCCTCAACCAAGTTTAAATAAGATACTTACCTCAAACAAGCCAAAATAATTACTAAGCAAGCCAAACAACTCTCTAGGCATGCCATCCCGCGTGTATCAATCTCCGAACGACTCAAAACTAGCCAAAATCAACTCAAAAATATCAAATAATGCTAAGGAACAATTCCAAATGATAAAGGTCGAGTCTTTACACATTTATTAAAAGTCAACCAAAAAGTCAAACTATAATTACCCGACCGGTCGTTTTGCTTTTTAGATCCCAATTCCCCTAAATAAGACTCCTTGTATGTGATTTTACTGTTTTATGACTTGCGGGGATAGTTAGTTGTGGTTTGGAAGGGTTCGGGTTGAAATCAGAACACTTAGTTCCTTAATATTGGCTTAAAATGGTTAAGTTTGACTTGAGTCAAAATTTTGAGTAAACGAAATCGGAACCGGGATTTGACGATCCCAATAGGTTCTTATGATGATTTTGGACTTGGGCATATATTTGGATCGGGTTTCAGACGACTCGGGAGCGTTTTGGCACTTAATATTGATAGTTTGGTTTGAGGTAGGATTTGGTGTTATCGAGGTCTATTTGGTATTCTGAACCTGAGACTAGTTTTGTATGGTGATTTAAGACTTGCTCGCAAAATTTGGTGTCATTCCGAGTAGTCTAAGTACGATTCGGCGCGTTCAGAGCAAGTTGAAAACTTGAAGTTCATAATTTGATTCAATTTGTTT